AGAGCACTACATATAGTTGCTCCTCCACATCCGTGGAATCCCAACCGAGGATTGAAAACAGTACGGGTATTTATTCATTCTAGGTTATCACTCACCTTGCAAAGCAGACATAGTTCAGCAAAAGCGAAAATAAAAGGCTTATTTAGCTTGAATTCCATGTCTTACTACCATTTTAAAACTTAATTTTCTTTTCCAGAGATATTACAATAGATTGAATAAAATCCTGGGCAATGAAGGAGTTAAAATAATTTTTGGAAAATATATTGGGCGTTGTAGCTGCATTGCATACCTATGAAGACATCTCAACAGCTCCTTTGTCACTAGTTGCTAGTGTGTGACAGAAAGAGCCTGGAGAAGAAGAAAGTCATGAGGCTTAATTTATGGTCCTGTCATTACCACCAATATCTGACCAAGGGTGAGAGACTTATGTCAGAGTATTCATTCAGTCATCAGCTTTGTGAAGCTTAATATGTGCCAGGCCCTTATACTATAGGACCTCAGGTTACGTCGGCGATCCTTTCCTACGGCGCGATGTAACGCGATTTTCACGGTAAGTCAGAACCCACCTACATATAAGCACCTACGTCACTCACATGGAGCACATGGAGCAGTAATGAAGTGAAACAGTAAAAAAAATTAAAAGAAAGATAACAATTCCTGACCTTTACTTGTGGTAAATAAATAATAAAAAACATAAAGCACATATGTACATACGTCGAAATTATGGAACTTTTTTTTTTTATAAATGAATGGGAGACAGCGACATAACCACAAAACGATGTACATTGAGTCCGACGTAACCCGAGGACTGCCTGTACAATAATATTTAATTCTGTATACCATACCATTATATAACATATATTATGAGTATGACATAATATATTACAAAATAAAATAAGGTATTGAGGAGCTGCCAACTATCTGTGAAAGAGCCAAGCTCTCCCCAAATTCAATGTCACCCATTCAATAGTCCCCACTCCTAACTTTGACATTCAATGTGCTGCATCATCTGTCTCCTGTCTGCTTCTTTGGCCCTAGCTCTTGACACTGCTCTTCCCATCTCCTGAGGTACCTATGTTACACCCAAACCAAATGACTTGCAGTTCCCCGTTGTGATTTCGTGCCAGTATGGCTTTGCAAAAGGCTTTTTTCTTGCCTGTTTATAACACTTGTACTTATCCTTTGCGACCTGGTTCAAAAGTTGGCTCTTCAGGAAAGACTTCCCCTAGATCCTCTCTGTATTTTATATATACCTTTGTCATCCCGCTTAACACACTATCCTGCAGTTGTTTAAGTACTTAGAGAAGTATGCAAATGAGTCCCCCATCAGTGTGTAAGCAGAGACCCTGTCTCATTAATCTTTGTGTGCCTAGAGTATAGCACATGCCTGGAGAGAAGGAGCACTCGATCCATTTTATAAATGAGTGGATGCATAAAAAATGAATCAGCCATACTACAGCAGCAGGTTTTCTTTGTAGTATGACATTTCTTAATAGAGTGACAGTTCTGGTAAAATTTGCATCTCTCTTGGATTCCATCTTATCTCTACCTCAGTCCCCGCACAATGGACACTACTAAAGCATTACAGTGAGGCTCTTGTAACAGTTACTTGAGTGTTACTTACTGTGCAGTTGGTGCGGCCTTGCATAGGGGAAGGTTAACTTGAAAACACACCAAGTCACCAAGTATATATCATTTTAATCTTGACAGTGTACTTTTAAGCAGATGGCCGAGTTTTTCTTCCTTCACATAGCTAGCATCTCTCCAAACAAGCTTAGATAGCAAACTGTTTTCTTTGGCAAATTGATTAATGAGGACATTACTCATTTGCCCGGCTGTATGACATGTCCAATAACATTGTCATTTTGTTTCTGGGGTGTTGGGTAAAAATATCCAGGAATTTACTACCAATGGAGTAACCACCTGTTTGTTGGAAACGTTAAAGAGGGAAATCTGGGGAGACAGCTCCCTGGAAGAATGCTGACGGGGGTCTGACTCCACCTTCCCACAACAAACTGTCCTCTCCAAACTTAGCAATAGCACCTGTGGAAACAAGGGAACAGCTGTGCTGGGTACCTTAGTTATTGGATGGCTGGGGACTGAGCTGCCCTGCAGGCACCTGGAGAAACTGCAGAAGTAGTTCTTCCCAAGCCTAAAGGAGGGCAGAGCCCTGGGAGCTTTCAAGCTACTGATCAGTGGCAAGGATAGGGGTAGAATCAAGGGAGGAAAAAAAGCATGAATGAGATACAGGATGGGAAGTAGGGAGGAAACAACTGGAGAGCAGGAAACTGAGCAAGTGTAGTTGATACTACTTACTCAGGGATCCTACAGTGTGTGTGTATGTTTGTGTTGCGGGGGGGCGCACGAGGAGGGGATTCAGAAGGATGAGGGTTACCATGAAGAGGAGGTACAGTCTTTCTCTGGAAGCTATAACTGGGCAGGAAGGGAGCAAGCATGTGTTTGGACCTCACCTGCAGCAGCCAGAACACAACAGATCAACAGACAAGTTCCGTGCTAAGTGGGAAAAAAGGCTCTCTAAGGGAATCGCCAGAAGGCCTGAAGCGATCCAAGAGAAAACAAACTGGACAAAATCTTAAAGGATTAGGGAAAGAAACCTCCCCCTCACCACCCCCACCACCCCTGCCAGGACTGCTGTCTGAAAACACAAAACAACAAAAACCACAGGGCACAACACAAGAACCCCATGGGAAGAGGGAAAGGGTGAAGTGTGGAGGAGCAGGTCAAGGCTGATGACCAAGGTGCCGAACACTCCAGCAAAAGACCCACATTTCTTGCACAATTCCTAACTGCGTGTGCATCAGCCAGCACGAGGCCATCTTGAATTGGCACAAACTCAACTCAAGCAGCTTATCTGAGCAAGGTGGCATTACTTAAGCTAAAATGACTTTCTGTTCTACTTTAGAGAAATATCTAGAGGCCAGAGCTTCAATGTAAAGTCGGTCTATAAAATGTCCAATGGGAAATATGTACTCCTGATAAAAGTGGAAGGAGGGTGTTGCTACTTTTGTGTCTTGAATCTCATCATCCTGAGGGCAGCAGGAGTGTCGGGAGACGCTGGAGCAACAAATTCTTAAGACTTTCTCATTCCTACGATCATTATAAAATGCGTCCTGTAACAGACTAGCTAGTTGCATAAACTGTTAGTTCTGATAATACCATCCTTTGGGGGAAACAAGGTGGCTGATTGAATTTAAAGAAGAAAAATGAAAGGAACAAAGAGCTTAGTATTTGTGTGGAAAATATGTATACGCCTATACCAAGTTCCTATGGATCACGGCGGTTTACATGCCCCGTAAGTTCTAGTAGAAGGCCCCAGAAGATGGCCGGCAGCACCAAGTCCAGAACAGAAATGGAAACAATAATTTTTTCACTTCAATTAAAACACAAACAAGCAGAAGTGTGATTCTTCATCCACATACAATGGGAGGTGTACCTGAGGCAGTTCCGGGGACTGCCCCTGGAAAGAGAGGTATCAGTGTCAGAAACTGCTCGGCAAAGGCCACTCAGGACTTCACAGGTGTGGGGAAAGACTTGTTAAAAAGGGAAAGGCTGAGAAATAGCATGGTGTGAACCTATAAAAAACATAAACAGTGAGGGCAGAATCAACCTAGGCTTGCTTACAAAATAGGAATAAAGGGGTGTCCTTTAAAACCCATTTGAGATACACTTAGAATTCACATAGCAAGCTATGATTTGGACACCTTTATAAATTACAGAGACAGATATGGAAATAATTATTTCTGTTTCCATATCTAACTTTTAACGATAATGTTAGCTAGAACAACCATGCTGTTCTACCAGAGACTGCTTGTGGGTAACAGAAATACAGGGTGAGGGAAAAGTAGGTTTACAGTTGTGAGTATGCAAAACAGAGTTTATGCTTGTATTATTATTTGTTAATTATTGTATTATTTTCCATATGAACAACTTTTGTCCCACCCTGTACTGTTAGCAGAATTGGTCAGCTTCCATGTAGCAATACCTTCATTCCTATGAGCTAATATTCATGCAAACATTTTTTAGAAACTGTCAAGCCGTATTACTACTACTAATATTATATTTTATCACACAGAATATTAGGTACTGTACCATTCAGGTAACATGCTATTAACCAAAGAAGACTGACATTAACCACCTTCAGACTTAAATGTTTCTGGAAACAATTCTATGCTTAACCAAAAAGATTTAAAGATATATCCTGAAATAAAAGTCTTATGTAGTTGTGGGAAGCCTTTAAAGTCAAAGGCCTTGAAAATATGCTTTAAAAGAATTATTTTATTTTTTATTATTGATTTCTGAGATGAAGGGGAGAGAGAGATAGAAACATCAATGATGAGAGAGAATCATTGATCAGCTGCCTCCTACACACCCCCCACTGGGGATCAAGCCCAAAACCTGGGCATGTGCCCTAACTGGGAATTGAACCATGACCTCCTGTTCATAGGTCGGCACTTAACCACTGAACCATGCTGGCTGGGCAAGAATTCTTTTTTTTTTTTTTTAATATATTTTATTGATTTTTTACAGAGAGGAAGTGAGAGAGATAGAGAGTTAGAAACATCGATCAGCTGCCTCCTGCACATCTCCCACTGGGGATGTGCCCGCAACCCAGGTACATGCCCTTGACCGGAATCGAACCTGGAACCCTTCAGTCCACAGGCCGACGCTCTATCCACTGAGCCAAACCGGTTTTGGCAAGAATTCTTAACCTAACTATGTAAATGAGTAAAAAAATAAATAGAGATATGTGTTACCAAATAGAAAAATCAGAATATCCATAATATTAAAAAGTAATGCCAGAAAGAAAGAGTTGAAGGTATTTTCATCTAGCAATAGACAGCACCTAACAAGAGGCAGGAAATATTAACACTTAAATTCTCAAAAATATTATTTGTGGTTTTTTGAAAATATCTTTAGGATCATAAGTATATCTGATAAGGTCCCAAGAGTAAATTTTAGGGTGTGTTTTTTTTCCTTAGAAACAGGGAAGATTGAAGCAAAATTTGAAGCATTAAGATTATTCACAATCGAAGACATGGTTCCCCTCCTGCTTTCCTGAAGACTACAGGTACCAAAACCACATGTCCTCCTGGATAACCTAGGATTCCAGGCTTCTGCTTCTTAAAAATGCAAGCTCTGGAAGAGGAGCCCTGTCAGATTTTCATTCAGCAAACAATTCTGGTTTACCAACTCTTACATGGAAACAACAACCTCAAAAGTGAACTTAGAGGAAAGAAAGCTGCTTTTATAAAAAGTTTTCTGAACAATAAATGCAGGGTGTTTGTTTTTTTTCCTTACTCTATGACATGTACCATGGTAAGGTTAAACTTCTTCAGGTCTGAGTCAGTAGAATGAGATGTGCTTGTTTAATGTGTTTCTATTGAGTAAATCCTCCGGAGAATTGTGAAAGAAGGTACCTGGTCACTTGTTTCTTCATCTCCCTCCTACCTCCCCCGACCCTAACCCTACAGGTATCTAGTGTCGACTTCCTTCTCTTTAAATGCTCAAAGTCCCACCACAGCAAACATATCTACCCAAATCTATTCCCTTTTTATAACACCTGTCCTTTAAAGTCATAGCATTTGCTTCTTCTACACCTAAACCCCATATTAAATGAATCGTTAGGTAACAAGTGAAAGGGAGGGAGGGAGCACATTCATACTAAAGTGTAAATGAATGATAGCGGTGCTTAGTAAGCCATCTCTTACAAAGGGTAGTTCAATTGTAAACAGTTGCTTACAGAACAAATAAATAAATTTTCTATTATTTCCTCAAATAAGGGCACACTTTATTCTTTTCTACTGGGTGAAGTAAAATATATGGCTTGGGAATAACAGCAGTATTTTAAGTGGGAATGGTAGTTAGGACAATATTAAGAAACGTTGTTGAGTTTAAGAAGGGTTTAGTATATTGGTGAAGGGGAAGAGGTAAGGCAAACTCTGAACATGGGAGGTTTTGGTTCCTTCAGCTTCATTTTCTCTTCCTTATTTTTATGCTGATTGTGTCTCTTTTTCCTTCCTTCTCAACAGACTGTTTCAGTCCTTCTTGGAATTATTTATTTATTTTGCTCCTGCTGACAAGCTGGAGGTTGAATTATGTGCTCAGTCTGAAAATGTTCCTTTAGGCTCGTGCCTCTGAACTTTCTAGCCAATGCCGAGTAAATAGGTACTGTGCTGTATGCAAATGTAGGCATATTTGTCTGAGTAGGCCAAAGGAGGGGAGGCATTCTGCAAAATGCCTTTAGAACAGAAACAAACCTTTGAGATGAAATATTTTAAAGCCTCATGAAAATAAACTAAACTCTTCGGGAACAGAGAGTACAGAGGAATACTTATCTATACAATAAATTGGAGAAAAACCACACACGAAGCAAGACGTGACTAATACTTCAGCAGTGAGCTCACCTCAAGCATTTCATGAATTTCACATGACCCACCCACTTTTTCTCAGTACCTCTCAAGATTACCATATCAGCAGCAATAATACTCTGTTGTTCTGAGTGCCAGATTTACATATCAACGTAGCCATGGCATTCCTGAATGTAGAATATTGTACTGTTCCCCTTGTTTGTGGTTTCTATAAGGTTAATTTTTGTTCCCTTACCCTCCTCACTTAATCTCATGCCACCCCCTACCTCTCTTCAATCAGAGGTTTGTTTTTGTCTATGAATAGTTTTCCTCTTTTCTCATTTTCTGTGTCAAAATTTGAACTATCCACAAATTCACTGTAAAACCATGCTGCTTTTTAAATTTTTATTACTCAGCTATAGATGATCAACTCTTTGAAAAGATAAGCCAGGGACAGAAAGTAACAGCTGGTCACTTCTAGGATGGCTCTGGGATACCTTCTTTCTCAAATATACGGTATGTTAAGGTGGGTCAGAAGTTACCATGGTAGATTTCATGGCTACCTTTGTTTCTTTCTTGGCAGGCTTTGTTTTTAATTATTTCTATTTCTAAATTGGAGATGGGGAAAAATCTCCATGCCAGAACTGAGTCAAGCAACTTTCATTTCCAATGAAAGTTTGGAAAGGGCTAGATAATTTTTAAATTCATAGACTCTCGTGTGTCAAATTTAATGGAAAACCAGCTGGAGCCTAAGAAGCTATTTTAATGAGCTTCCTTTTTCTCTGATGTTTCCCCAGAGGCATGTGCCAAGCGGGCCCATGTGGCCTAGGGAGTAACATGATCATCTTGGCTCTGTTTAGACACCTGTGCTCTTTTAGCCTAGTGGTAAGAAGAACAGAAGAGAGAGGGTTGAGGGCATGGAAGGCATGCAGGCCTAGTGGGCGTGGGTGTGTGCCATGCTGCTTAGGAATTCACTACAAGAAACTCCACAGCAGCGGCAAAGCCTGATGCATCATAGGCCAACAGTGCCTCTGTGTGGGATTTCTGAGAGTGCATGAAATGTGTCTGTGTGTATGTTGGGGAGGGAAAAATGGGGGGAGGAGAAAATATGCATTTTTAAAAGGGATTGCATGCCTTGGAGGTTCTTTTTGAGAAGGCGATATAGGGAAAAAAGATTAAAAACCATGAATACAAAGTATGCCTGGGAGTCGGAGAGCATATTTTTCTTCTCAACTTCTTCCCACTCCTTAAAGAACATACATTTGCTGTGTTCACTTTTCCTTTTCTAGCAATCAGTGTGATGCTTGGCTCTCCCTACCCACTTAACACATAGATATTAAACTTGATCTGTATTATTTTTCACCAGGAGTCTTGTTTAGTGATTATTCATAGTCTCCTGTGTGTGTGAATTTCTCCTTCCTGGATTATACAGTTCTTGAGGGTTTATACTTATAGAAGTTAATATTCACTCTTGTTCTTCCTCACCAATTTGTTACTAATTCTGGGTATTTCTCTGCAAATGTTGAACATATGACTACACAATACTTTTTCATAAGATTTTCTTCCACTTACAATGTCTTCTTTTATGATGTGATTAAGTTTATTTTTATAAATTACAATTTTTTAAAAATAAAGTATTTCCACGCTTTCTAAAGTGTTTATAGTTTTTTTAAAATTTAATTCCTATTTTAATTGTGTAATATTTCATATGTACAGAAATACAAAGAGGATACACAACATACATCCCAACCAACAGGTTTAACATATTCGCTTCATCTCTTTAAAAGTTAAATATATAGCCAACCACCCAGGACCCTTTGAATCTCAGCCCCGCTCCCTCCCTAGAGAAAACCACTCTCCTGATGCTGGTATACATGCTGGCCCTGCAAGTTTTTAGATTCCCACTACGTGGTTCAAACAATCTTAGACCTCCTTCCCGAGGGGCTGGCAATTGGGTCTGTAAGCTGCTCACACCCAGCCAAGCATGGGTGGATAAGTTCCATTACAAAGGGCTGGATGCATTTTTCTTTTTTATTGAATTTCTTGGGGTGACATTGGTTATTAAAATGATATAGGTTTCAGGTGTACAATTCTATAATACATCATCTGTATATTGTATTGTGTGTTCACCACACCAGTCCAGTCTCCTTCCATCACCATTTATCCCCCCAATGCCCTCTTCTACCTCGCCTCAACCCCCTTTGCTAATCACCATACTGTGTCTATTGAGGGTTTTTTTGTGTGTGTGTATGTTTTGTTTTGTTTTGGCTTAATCCCTTCACCTTTTTTCACCACCATCCCCCCAACAACAGTCAGTCTGTTCGCTATCTATGAGTCTGTTTCTATTTTACTTGTTAGTTTATTTTGTTCATTAGGTTCCACGTATGAGTACTTGTCTTTCTCTGACTGCCTTACTTCACTGAGCATAATGCTCTCCAGGTCCATCCACGTGGGTGCATTTTTGTCACAGGAAGGAAGAGTGGCAGAGAACTAACCCAGGAGAAAGATTGTTCCACCTTGAAGAATAGGGCTTACGGGCAGCGAAGGCATACGGAGGATGCAAACGGAGGGCAGGCTGGGCACAGGATGAGGAGGCGAGGAGGTGGAAAGGGGCTCTTGGAGGTGTTGAACAAAAGGGGTTTTAGGTGAGGAAGAGGCAGAGAGCCTGCACTAACACAGACTTTGGCCCCCTTGATCCTCAGAGAGGATGTAGCTGGGCAACTCTCAGAGCGCCAGGTCTGGGCCCCACAGTCACTGCCCTAGCATGCCAGACCCACTCCCCACCTCAGGACCGGCCTCGGCTGCATTTACTTGGAAGAGGTTAGCTTCTTCACAGAGCCTGTGAAGGACTGCATAGATCACAGAGATGACTCAACTTGCCTGTCAGTGCTCTTACTCAATTTGGAGTTGCCAAATAAAACAGAAGGCACCCAGTTAATTTTCATTTTCACACAACGAACAAACACTTTCTTTTTTTAGTAAGAACGTGTCTCAAATATTGCATGGGACATACTTATACTACAAAAGGTATTTATCTGAAAATCCAACTGTAAGTGAATGTCCTGTATACTCACTGCTGAATCTGGGAACTCTATCATCTCCATTGAATTTTGGAAGAGTGTGAAAGGGATCAAAGGGCTCTCCAGGATGACATGAACGAACACACAACCTCTGTCCAGTCCTCAATGGCCTGATATGGGCTAACACAACAACGAGCTCACGGACTTTATTAAACCAGGAGGGCACAATGACACTCATTTTTTCAATGGCTTTATTGAGATATCATTCACATACCATCAAATGTACTCATTTAAACTAAGTGGGTTTTAATATATCCACAGGGCTGTGCAGCCATCACCAGATCAATCTGAGGACATTTCATCAGCTCAAAAAGGAGCCCAGGACCCATTAACGATCACTCCCCCATCCCGGCTCCCCGCCCTCCCCGTTGTTCCCCAACCCTTGCCCCCGCCAACCACTCAACTTTCTGTGTCTTTAAACTTACCTATTCTGGACATTTCTTTATAAATGGAATCTACAATATGTGGCTTTCTTGTCTGGCTTCTTTCATTTTGCATGTTTTCCAGGCTTATCCACAGTGTAGCGTGTATCAGTACTTCATTCCTCTTTACGGCCTGGTAATATTCCTAACAACGCACTACCATTGGCCTAGTCATTCATCCACTGGAGGACACTTGGTTTGCTTCCACTTCCTGACTATTATGAATAAAGTTTCTAGGACAGAACAGTCGTGTGCAAGGTTTCATGTGGACGTGTGTTCCCATTCCTCGGGGAATTGCCGGCCATATGGTAACTGTCTAATATCGGAAGGAACCGCCAAACTGTTTCCCGAAGCAGCTGCGCCTTTTCAATAAGAAACCTTCCGGGGATCCTGGGGGTCCCCACCTCAGGGCTGCCTCCACGGGGCCCCAGGCTCCTTCCTCCAGGCGCCCAAGCCGCTGGGATCCCCAGGCCCAAACCTCTCCGGGAGCGACTGTGGGAAACGCACTTAGGGCCTCCCGCCTGGCCCCGCCCCCGCAGCGCTCGCAGCCGGAGGAAAACAGACGCTTGGCGGAGGCCCTGTGGACATTGTAGTTTCCTTCCTGGTCTGCCGCGTACAGACTGAGGTAAGGGAAACTACAATCCCCAGAACACCGCGGGGCTACGGCGGCCGGAGGGGCCATTCCGCGTGCCTCTCCCGCCCACCCAAGTGTCCCGGCAGCTCTCCAGGGCGTCTGTAAACACACCCAGACTGTCATGGAGGGGGCGGAGGGGGCGGTGGCGGCGGAGGAAGGCGTTTTGGGCCGCCTCCAGGGTCCGCTCTGCCATTCCTGAACTGGTCCCTCATCCCCGTGACTGTGGCATCAGGGAAGCGAAGTGTTAGGCGAGAGGAGGCAGTCAGAACCATATCCCCTTCTTCCCCCGGGGCGGGGGCCGGGCCGGGCCCGGCCGGCGGAGCTGGGAGGGCAGGGGGAGGGAGCGCCTGGCCAGGCTGGCCTGCCTGCCGAGATGGATGACAGTAAGGTAAGTCCTGTGGTTTGCACGCGCAGCTGCCGCCGCCGCCGCCTGCTTGTCGCTAAGTGCGGGTCCCGCCGCTGAGCCTTAGCTCTGTAGTCCATGCCAACACCCAAGAAACACCTGCCGTAGGTGTCCCCGCGCCTTCAGTTAGTACCCAGGGTACCCACCCAGGAATTCGGGGGACAGCGGGCCGCGTTGCTCCCCAAAGGGCCCTCTCCTCTGGGAGATTTTCACTCTCGGGGCAAGCCTGTTTGTCAGCTTCTCCAGGTAGTGCCAGCCCTAGTCCTGGACTCGCCGACCGAGATACGTGAAGGAATTACTTTGCTTTCCCTTTTTGCCGGCCCTTGCCCCCGCCCAGCCTTTCTCTAGTTTGGAGATCTTAACTAGGACACCCTGAACCAGCCCTGTTTCCCTTGACTGTTCCCCTTTCTTCTCTCCTGCGCCCTTACTCAATGCCCCATTCATATAATCAGTTCACTCCCCCTCTGAGCTATTTTCCTGTGGTTGGTTGGAACACTTTGCTAAGCTCCTGTTGCTATTCGTCCAGAGTCTGGAAGCTAACCTCCTCTGGAAAGCCTTCTCTAAGAAAAGTAGTGAATCCCTTCTTGTGCATCTGTCACCACCCCCTTTCTCTCTCCAAATCAATTACCCTTATGACTATAAGAGCAGTGTCCATTATTGGTCATTCATATGTGTAACCTTTTTGTCTTTATGTCTATCCACGTTAGTGTTGACCAGTTTTATTTCATGAAGATAGGGATGGGCGGCTTATTGATCATCAGACTTACAGAATTTGCCAGTTTTTGAAGTGGGAATTGCTCCTTCCCGCTGCTCTCCAGAGGTCTTGCTTTCTTACACTCTTCAGCATGCTGCTGGAGGTAGCCTTTCTCTTTGTTTGGGTGCCCTTTTCCCCTTCCAGGTAACCAGTAACATTTTGCTGCTGTCCAATTTTGGTTTCACTTATCAGTCAGAGAGATTGGAAAGATTTCCAGCTTCTCTGTACTACTGTTGGTGTTATTCTACATGATCTCCTCTCCCTGTACCTGCAGAAGGCTCTGAGAAAAGTGGTAGAAGGGAAAGCCCAACACAGTACTCTGGAATTGGGACTCACAGTCTGCTTGTGAAGTAGTAAAGCCCTCCTAATAGGAAGTGGTGTTTCCCAGACAGAAAGGGGAAGTTCTAAACGTTCCAGAAAAATCAGAAAATAACTTCTCCAAAAAGCCTTTGCTAGCTCGCTCTTGCAGTGTTAATTTTGAAATTAAATCCACATATTGTATCCTTTATCTTTCCCAGAAAATGATGTTATGGCTGTTTAAGAATGCCAAAATAACATATTGTTCTTTAATTTTTTTTTAAATTTGAGACTCTCACAGAATAGTCTACATAATTTTCAGTTGTTTCCTTTTCACACCTTTGAAACATTTAATAACTTTCTCAAAGTCTTCAGTAATCTCAAAGAAGTCCAAGAAAAATGCTTAAGATTTTGAGTTACTTTACTTCACTATAAACCCACCTAGGAGTTATTTCTAAAACAAGCAAACTCTTAGGGGGTACAAAAAATTTTATTGTTTTGCCTAAAATAATGAAATTAAATTTCAGGGGTTGCCGAAACCGGTTTGGCTCAGTGGATAGAGCGTCAGCCTGCGGACTGAAAGGTCCCGGGTTCGATTCCGGTCAAGGGCATGTACCTGAGTTGCGGGCACATCCCCAGTAGGAGGTGTGCAGGAGGCAGCTGATCGATGTTCCTCTCTCATCGATGTTTCTAACTCTCTATCTCTCTCCCTTCCTCTCTGTAAAAAAATCAATAAAATATATTAAAAAAAAAAGGCTTTGGAATCAGATGGAAAAAAAAAATTTCAGGGGTAGACTATTCATAACTTACTTCCTATAGGGTCCCAGGTACACAAAATAAATTGGGTTTTCATTCTTTATTAATTCACTGTTTTTATGAAAGAATTTAGAAACCAGCAGTTTCTGAAATCTTTAATGAGTGTGGAAAACAAAATCCATTTCAAATGTCTGTGGATGAATAGTGTCTCTGTGAATACACCACTTTCACTTTGACTG